GCCAGCTTTAAAGTTCTGTGGAGAAGCCTGATGGCAAGACAGACAAAGGTAGACTTTTCCTGCTTCTTTAGTGCTGGCACAGGGATCCACAGGCATTCGGCCTTTCCCCTCCCTCCCAGTTCTGGCCACATGGCAGTGTCTCCTCCGTTCACAGGGATATCTTCACATAGAGAATGGGATATGCTGCAAAAACACTTCTACATCCTTGCCTTTCTTTCCTCCTGAAAGAGAATAAAGGGCCCGGAAGAGAAGTGCTACACAGGCTTAAGTCCCCGTGTGCTTGTGAGGACAGTGAGGCCGAGGGCTTCTGGGACTCCCGGCTCTCAACGTAGGGCCAGTCTTTGCTGGGGCCCGGGGAGGGGCTGAACTAGACTTTGCTTGGCCGAAGCACAGACTGAGTGGTAGAGTAGCTGATTCCCTGAACAGGGAACGGCAACAGGCTCAGCTTTGCTGGGAAGCTGCCGCTCTTAATTTCCAGTTGAAAACCTAGAAGAATCTTGAATGGAAACCCCGAGGTTGAGCCCTCTGTCTGGCAGCAGAGCTGGCTGGAGGGAACGGAGGGGCACAGCACTCAGATTGCCAGGCCGGAGGAGAGATGGACGCGGGTTGCATGGCGGCCTACCACACCCCGCCCTGGCTTCTTTTCACACCACTGTGGAATCCTTTGTAGAATGGTACTCCTAGATGATGGTTTCAAACGACACATGCATCATTGACTCTGTGCAGGATGTCCCTCAATCAGTTTGGGTTTGCTTTATTTTATTTTATATATTTTTTGGTATCCTGTACATTGCGGTGGGTGTGAAGATAGTATTTTAATATTTGTACAAAGTTTAATTTAATTTTAATTGTTCTATGTATATAACTGCATTTCTAAATAATAATTAAAAAGGTTCTTATGAAGGCAGTTGTGAGCGATGTGATCCTTCCAGGAAGTTTTCATAGAAACCTTTGAGCAGGAAAAGCCTAGGTGGCAGGAGTTCCTGAAGTGGTGAAGCACCAGCTCTGGGGAGGGGCTGCCTAGCAAGAGGAGACAGGACAGGGAGAGGCCCCAAACCGGAGTGGAAACACACTACCGGTCTTAGGCGTTCTCAGTGTGCCAGTCCCTGTGCTGCACTGGGACTCGGCAGCGAGCAGGCCCCTGCGTTTGGGACCCGGGCACAATTACTGCCCTGGGAGGGCGGGCCGTCCCCACAGCGTGCAGTGCTGATCAGGGAAGCCACGCTGGGTGGGGCACAGGAAGCATCTTTTGGATGGAAGGGCAAAGAAGCTGTGATGGGAAGGGCCGTACCGCCAGGCTAAAGGGCGGGACACCACACATGCGTGGACGCCAAGGCAGCAGAAGGCACATTCAGTGGAGGAAGGAAAAAGGGCGCAGGGCTGGGGGGACAGTGGCTCAGCACAGGGCAGGAGAGGGCAGCGGGGGCTGGGTCCTGGAGGCCCTCCAAGCAAGGAGTGGAGAAGTTTGACTTCATCTTCAGGGTAGCCGGAAGCACTTGGACAGTGTTTAGTAACAGAATGATGTAGTAAGCTCCACTTTTCTGGGAGGACACTCTCCCCCTCGCTTAAGACTGTTCAGGGGGATAAAATGTACTTTACCTGGAGACCACTTAAGAAGTCGGTCTTGGGAGGAAGGCACCTTGAGCAGCTAGCCATCCCCTTCCCTGAGGTGGAGAAGCAGAAGACACGGTTTGGGGTGGGGAATGATGGAGATCTCAAGACCAGAGGGCAGAGCACACAGAGGTGGAGACGTCATTGCCTGGTAGGAGAGACCAACAGTGAACAATCACAAAAGGTGGTAAGGGCGTGAGAAGAGGGAAGAGCAGGGCACTGTGGGATAGAAAATCAGGTCACTTTTTTTTTTTTTTTTTTTTAGATCAGGCTGCTCTCAACGTTGTCCTGGGGTAACGGTCAGGATGTGTTTCTCTAATACTTAAAAGTGTCGGGAAAACGTTTTAGGAGCATCTGTGCCAAGTCTCCACCCCAGTCCTCAGTAGGGTCCGCACAAACATCACTGCCATTAGTTGTAAGGAGGTGAAGGGAAGAGCGCTTTGCCAGTTTTTGAAAGTAATGGTGGTAACAGCTAATACTCGCTCGCTGCGTACCTGGCAGAGTTCTACGCACTCGGTGTGTGTACCCCCAGGGCCCTTATAGCAGGTGCCCTTATAGCTCAGAGCTCCAGGCCACATATAATGAAACTGAGGCATAAAGAGGTGGATTAACTTGCCCAAGGTGGGGTCAGGATTGAATTCAAACCCAGGTAGTTCTGCTGAAGTGTTCCCCTCCCTGTCCCATTGTCCCATTCCCAACCCATCTGACACTGCCTGCCTCCCAAGGCCCTTACTGCCCTCCTTCTGCCTTTCAGTCTCTGTTCCAACCAGTGAGCTTCAGGCAGAGGAAAAACTAATTTCATGGCATGGCAGGGAAATGGCACACCCTTCAGTAGGATAACAGATGACCTAAGGGTCAAAGAATGGCAGGTGCCCAGCAGTGTAGGGAGAGGGGGCATTTCAGCTCCGCAGACCATGATAAATTCGTTCACAAAGCGGCAGGAATTGTTCCTCCACGAGAAAAAAAAAAAAACATATATGAAGAGGAAAGACTACTTATTTCCTCGATAGATAAGCCTTCTTTGTCACTGGAAAACCGGCAGAAACGTGTCCCATCAGGTAAGGAATGCTGGGGAAGGGAGACTTTCCAACGTGGGGTCAACCTGGAGTCGTTACCTTTCTCTTAAAAGACAGATGAGGGAGGACAAAGGCAAAAAGCCACAAAACCTGCAGAGCCTGGGGGGGGTGTTTGGGGGGAGGGCTGGCTTTGAAGTGGTTGCCGCAGGTGGGGAAAGGTGGTGGGAGGAGAGAAAAGGAATTTCCTGCCCTGCTGCTGAACCCCCCACCTCCCAGTCTGGAAAGCGGAGAGCCCTGGACAACAACCAAAGTAGTAACCTCTCAGGTCTTTCTCCGATCAATCGCGTAGAAGTATTTTAAAATATGCGAAAGTAACACATATTCACTTCAGAAAATTGAGAAAACCTACCACCTCCTGGTAATGTGGTTCTTTTTTCTATGCCTGAATATAGTTTCCTCTTTTAAAAAGATCACTTTTATGTTTTGTTTAATGTTTATTTTTGAGATCGTGGGGGCAGAGGAGGGGCAGAGAGAGTGGAGGCGGGGGACGGACACAGAGGATCCAAAGCAGGCTCTGTGCTGTTAGCACAGAGCCTGACGCGGGGCTCCAACTCACAAACTGCCAGATGGTGACCTGACCCGAAGTTCGATGCTCAACCGACTGAGCCACCCAGGCGCCCCTAAAAAGATCATTAAAAAAATTATTTTTTAAGTTTATTTATCCTTGACAGACTGAGAGAGCACAATTAGGGGAGGGTCAGAGAGAGAGGGGAAGCAGGCTCCAGGTTCTGTACTGTGAGCGCAGAGCTCAGTGCAGGGTTTGAACCCACGAACCGTGAGATCATGACCTGAGCTGAAGGCAGACACTTAACCAACTGAGCCCCCCAGGCACCCCTAAGAAGATCATTTTTAAATAGTATTTTGATTTTTTAATCTTCACAGTCTACTTTAATCTCATAAAACATCCATCTACATAATTTTTAATGGTTGCAGTTTTCCATCCTATTGGTAATTTAGACATTTGGATTACCAAAACTTTTAAAAAATTCTAATAACCAAGGGTTTGATAGTATTTTAAATTATTTCCTTGAGATAAACTACTGGAAATGGAATGCTAGATCAAAAGAAATCCACATTTTAGTGGCTTTTGCTATATCTCAAATTGCCCACCAAGAAAGTTATTCCAAATTATACTCTCATTGGCAGTGTGTGTTTTCCCACAGCCCTGCTAGCATGGGGGGTTATCATTTTAAAAAATATGCCAATTGAAAGAAAATGGCATTGTTTTGATTTACACTTGTGTCATTATTCCTGAAGTTAAAGTATGGTTTGCCTACTCTTTATAACAAGACATAGAAGACATTGAAAATTGTGCAGATTTGGCGTCCAAGATGTCCATGTTTGAGATGAAGTCAAAACTGTGATTTCCCCTCTAAATAATGCATGATAGATAGAAGATTGATAGATGATAGATAGACAGACACATAGATGATAGATATACATACATAGGTC